TGCACGCCGTTCATGTTTGCGTATAGATTTTGTTGCTTCTGCTCGTCGAACTAAGGATACGCGAAATCCTAACTAGACTGGATCTGAGTCATCGAAGCGTGCCTTCGAACGCGACACGAGGATCATGGCTGAGATCAATCCGTAAATTCGCTCGCGTCCTCTACCGCGTTTTGCTCTTCGCGTAATACGCTATCTTCTTGGATTTACAACTTTCATACCTGGTGGATACTTCAGAATAAAAATGATGTGACGAACATTCACGTAGAATCTTGCAGGCAAATCCATGTAATTTTTGTAAGTTATGATTTTACTTTAAATATATGTGTAAATGTACACCTTTAAGAGTAGATCCCAAAAATTATCTATCATAATTGTTGCAATTTTACATGTAATTTTTTTAGAGTTTATATACAATTCTATTGACTAATAATATTCGTCGTTAATAATACTACTGCAGTATTATACTGCACTATTATATATTACACTGTTAAATTTTATAGCGTCAAATTAACTTAATGTGAGTCGCCATTGCTCCTACTCAATAATATCGTTATTTTTTACTAAAACAATGGTTATATTTGACACTATACAGTATCAATTTAACATTATATAGTGTCAAATTTAATAATCATTTTAGTAAAAAATAACAATATATTTAGTAGGAGCAGTTGTGACTCACATTAGGTTAAATTTGAAACTATAGATTTAACATTTTGTATTAATGTATAATGAATGAAATATATGCTATTAATGAATAAAAAAATTACGAAATAAAATTGATATTTTCGACTGGGCTCACAAAGAGTCTAGCAGGACCTTATTATAATCTTTCGATTCATCTGACTCGACAACGAGTCTCCCGTGAGCTAACAGTCTCTCAGGATCCGTAAACAGCAGCGGCATTTTTTCGATGACAAAATCGAGAGGAGATGCACGTCGTTCCTGTGTTTTCACGAGCGTATCCGACTCGCCCACGCTTTACAAACGACCGCACTCAAAAACGAATCTTCTCTGTCTCCCTCTCTTTCTCTCCCCCAAGACTTTACAGATAATTAACTGACATTAACGTTCTATTCGTCGGGCGTGGTTATGTTCGCGGTTAGCTCGTATTTCTCTACGACAGTCGGTGCATACATGTTTTTACGACTGATAAGGATCGCTTTTCCACCGAGACATCCTGCTTCACGTACCTATCCCAGTCCTGTCCTGGACAACGACTTCGCCGACAGAGCGGATTACTAAATTCATTGGCTTCGTTTTGTACAGAGGACTTCGCCTCTACGTCGTCGACATGGTTTCTCTTTGGCTTCCACGCAATTAGGGTCAACTCGACGATTTGTCGGGAGCGATTTCTTTCAGAGAGCTCGTGACAGGAAAAAGGCAAACCATATCTCGTGAAACTCGTATTATTACTTATTAGTTAATAGTAATTCTAAGTTCTATTACATGTCATACAGATGATACTTCCTTATGCGTCAATTAAATAACATATTATTCTATATGCAATAAATTACGCCGATCTGAGACACCGCGATATCCTTCGATAAAAACATATTTTGCAACAAATTCATAAATAATATTGAATTAATTATAGAATTATATAGAAGAGAGGAGCTGTCAAACATTTACGAGATGCGTATTGGAAATGAAATTAATAACTACTTAGCAATACGAGACAACCCCGTTACAATGTTTCGCGTTTCTATCGGTATTAGAAATAAATTAAATGATATTAAGTAACGCGTAGATTAAATCGAATCGAAGCAGATACACTGTTAAATATCAGAGGCATGCAGCAATAGTAATCTAATCTCTTGAATTAAATATCATTCTGTTATTTTTAACTTCCATGTATATCAAAATGTAAAGTAATTTATTCTTGTGATTAGTTTCAAAGTAAACAACATTCATATTAACGTATGCACATATAGTAATAATAAACTAAATTTTATATAGTTCAAAAATACATTTTCTTGAGTCAGATTGTTTAACTTTATTATTTCAATTAAACTAACGACATATCGAGTATGAGTAGTGGCAATCTAAAGCAATGATTAAAAATAACTCAAATTGGGTGCACAATTTGGCATGAATTTAAGTGAAATTAAATTTTAACAACTACCCTGGTAAAAATTTCATGCATTTTATGAGCAGTTATTACTAAACAGTTACACCAACTTCTGTCTAGTAACTGAGAAGGAAAACTACTTAGGATCCCAATCAGGATGTAACATTTTGTTTGCAGTTACTGCATACAAAAGTTGCGTAAAATCTGAATCCATTTACTGAATAGAAACACAACAAATAATGGATATTAAATTGATTAATAAGCAAGCCAACTGCTCGTGAAATGGACAGAATAAAACTTTATCAAGTTCTTGTCCATTTCCTACTCAGTATTGGCACAATTAATGAGATACAGTAATATTAGATAGTAACTGGATAGGTGTCTAGGAAAACTACATACATTTCTACCAGGGTAGAGGTTGACTCCTATTGCCTTCTTTACGAATTTTTATCTTATTGGTCGTGATTTAAGGAATCTATAACTCATTTAGTTATTATTTTATTATTATGAATTTAAGTGTTAACAGAGGCTTGCGAATAGTGAATCGCGTCGTGTGTGGCACGCGTTTGCGCGATTGGAAATCCGTAAGTGCAATGCCGTCAATAAAATATGCATATACACTCGTAGCCTCGTATAGGTGCCTCGTATAGGTACATCCCACGTGGCGTATTCTACACGGACGTCTCGCGTGTATTAATCTGCATAAACTCATTCCTATGCAAACGAAGAGATTCGACGTTGAACTAGGATATCACGCGAAGCCTCCGTGGCTTACATCGCGGCTTAAACAAGCTCCTATACGTGCGCACGCGTGCGGACGCATGCCGTCCGCGTGCACAAACCACGGGGTGAGTGCATAAATATATAGATGCACCCGGGTACGTGTGCGTGCGTATCGTAAACGATACCGATCGTAAACGGAATCTCCTTCGACGCGTCGACGGCATAATAATTGCGAAATCTCTCGTTTTCCCCGTGGTAGACGACGCTGGCCGGCCATCCAAAAGGACTACGACGACGAGAAAATGGCACCTGCCTGAAACGATCGCGCGATAATCTGTCCCCTCCGTAGTCCGCGAAATGAAAAGAAAACAATCGATGAATAATTTTGTGGCCGCCAGAGTACTTACTGCGTCCAGGGGAATTGATTTCGACGGAGCGCATCGCGAGCGTTAAGTCCCTCATGAATACAATCAGGAGATAAAGCTTTTATGGCGACTCGATGTATAAACGATACCGTTTTCCGATAATTTCTAATTTAACACTTAGTGCTTAGGGAGATTAAATGTTTATGCGAGAAACGGAGCGTTTCGTCATGACGTTTTACTAATCAGCGGGTCTTAGGGTATATTGTTACGCTTAATTAAATGTTGCGGCAATAATTATGCTCGTTGAGAAACTCGTTCTATCATTTGCTTAATCCTTCTGCTACTACAGTTTCTTTTGCCAATTATGCTAGAAAACAAATATATTCTCCCACCATATTTCACCTCAAGTAATCCTCACCGTGTCTATATTAATCTCAGATATAAATTTTCATGAAATAGCGAAGAAAAAAGGATATTTACTTGTAAACTAAAGTATAAAATCGCATAATTTAATTATCCATTAATAAGAAAAGATTAATTTCTGCGCAGAAAGAAAAATACTCGAACGTGACTCGTTTACCTCATAAATATTCCATCGCACGATTGCAGAAAATATAAGCTTATTGATATAATCATCACATGCTTGGAGGCCGCAAGCATAATGCTACTTTGGAGTCAAATAAGACCTATAATGAGTACGACGATCACGCGGCTGTGAAGGATTTTACAAGCGAGCGCTCTTACCGGTTCGTCTTACAACAAGAGAGAGAGAAATGCCGACACGACGCGCGTCGTAGGACAGATTTTACACCGTCTTGCGGCTATAAGCTGCGGTATGTATGTTTAATGCGGAACACGCGAGGCCTACGACCGAGCGACTTCTTACTACCGTTCTCGCACATTACTTATTCACCGTCGGCGTAATTACCAACGGATACTACATCAAACTCGAGACACCTTTCTCACAGGTATCGAGAGAGAGCTGGTGCAACCAAGTTACACTCGTGCACATGTCTGACGTGTATCGGAGCTTGCGCAAAATGGGAGTAACGCATTATCGGCTGATAGGCTCGTAAGCCAATAACGAGCTGTTACCGCGCTACTCTCGAGCGTTCCTCGTTGCTTTCAGAGTTCGATCTCTGCTCACGAAATAAACTCGTTGGATCGCGAATCGATGCGAGTTAAAAATTACTTACTACGATCGAGACATCTTTACGTAAAACTAACGCGTCGCAATTCTCGTGCTGTTCCTGGAAAATACATGACATGGAAGTCGCAGGAAGTTTAGCTCCGCCCTCAGATCGTACAGGAAGGAAATGGTTCCACGTGCAGCGAATAATCGACAGAAAATTGAACAAAGATTACAGACTAGATCTACATAAAGACATAATGTCATTCGTGCATCATTCTCTGCAGAATTTTTAAGTTAAAAAATTATTGAGCTAAATAAACTCGACTGTTACGAAATTCAATAGATATTTGATAATATAATATGTGAAACTATTTTATATAACAATTATATAAATAAGAGATAGTGTACGTAGTAGAACTCTTAATAGAATAGATGTCTTTACGTAATAGATTCCTTTTAATAGAAATATCTTTGAAATGTATCGTTTCTCTTATTCGCCACAATGACGGTTATCAAATACATGAAATCAATTCTGCATTTCAATGTAGCATTCAAGATGACACTCTCGTGCGATAATTACGCGCGTCGTTTCTCCGCCAAGGTGAACTTGTTCTTGGGGAGCAGTGAACGAAACGACTCGCTTTGTCGATCGCCTATCCAACTCGACTATCGTCAAGCATGACATAATGATTACGCTCTTTTTTTGTTTCAGGTTGACGAGGCAGAAATGGCACGGCGGGAGTCTCGGTGAGGAAAGGGCGAGGGTGAAGCCCTCGCAGGAAAAGGGAGCTATGGTGAAAAGCTTGGGTTTCCTCGCCAGAAGGGCGCCACCTGCTGTCCACCTTTTCGTCGTTTTGCTCGCGCTCGCCCCCGCTTACCACGGCGTGGACCTCTGTAAGTAGTTTCCTAAGCTCTAATCCGCAGGCCTTATAGTACCCGTCGTCGTGCGTCTCGTAGTGAAACTTCGTTCGACTATAGTTCCTTGGTTTGGAGTCGCGCGCAGGTTGTTTCGTTTATAAGTTATTAACGACGCGGAGGTAGCGCGACCCCAGAACTTACGCCGCCGCAGTCGACGAACTTTCGATCCAGGATCGGCTTTGACCCTGGTCATTAGATATCTTGTGTACCTATCTCAAGACATTGCGTCTTATCATTCGAGTCGTGTGCGTTTATATTTAGCGATACCTCGGAGGCTTTCGAGTGGGCGAAACGTGAAACCTGAATCCGAACATTATATCGCCAACAAGAAATATATTGTCTATTGATAATGTAAATGAACAACAAACTATCGCAAAGATTTTGAAATAATAAAAGATTAATATATACATTATTAGAAATATTCTTAAATCTCATTTACTTTTAATGTGTACTGGTAAATGAAATTTAAATTCTCTGTAACTGAAAAGACTATTTATGTTAATGAGAGATTTAAGTTTGTAATAACTAAAAAGTTAAGTGTATTGAAATTTAATATTTAAATCTTAATTAACCGTAATCGAAATAACTAATAATATACACACTATTAAAAATATCATAAAATTTGATGTACTTTTAAATTACACAAGTTAAATTTAATTTTATGACATTACATTGAATTTAATGCCCACGTTCATTACATTTAAGAAACCTGTAATTTAGATTTATGTCGCTTGTTATTTTTCAATTATACGTTTCTAACATTTCATTAACGTTTATTAATTTTCAGCCACAATCTCTTGAAATTTCATTAACTCGTAAATTAATTTTTAGGACATTATACATTCGTTAAATTTAATGTTCATTACATTTAAGATTACTGTAACTTAGTTTTCAGTTAAATCATACATTACTTTTCAGTTATCTATTTCTTCTACAAGCTTTCGTTATATGTTATTTAAAATTTATTAAGAAATTTCTAATAGTGTACTGTTATCTTATTTGGATTTTAATTATATTCATATTTTTTATAAAAAAATTGTAATCAAAAATAGATATTTGTTTAACAACTTCAATCAGCGTTATCAGAATTTTAATTAATAATAAATCTGCATAACTAGTTGGAATATATCTGCTTTAATAAAAAAAAAATAGTCTTATTAAAAAATCAATGAGAATCACATAGGAAAATCCCACTTTCAAGATCGTGTGGAGTATTCCATTTTATCGTATTAATAATAAATAATCGCTCTGTTCCAAAGCCCTGTTCACGAGAAGCAGCTTAATAGAAATAGATTTCCGGACGTAGGAGAGAAAAATTGCATCGTAGCCGTGATAATGGAAAGCTTAATAATTGCGCCCTCACGAAACCCTTCCAAACTGTATCCTTAGTGATTTCCTTCCTTTCCCCGTAATTTATCTTAGCGCCAATAGCCGGAAAATAATCGATGGTGTTTTTCTTGAGTGGAGACCCGTTAAAGATGGACCACTTTTACTGGACATCTTCCAAGGATGAAATCATGCGAAGCGTCTTGCACGCCGTCAGACGATTCGAAGATTAACGAAGGGAGATTGGTATCTCGAAAGAGTCACGAGGGTGTCGTGTTTATTCACCCCTATTCACGATCGATTTACGATCAAGTGTGATATCTCACAGTGATTCGTTAGAACGGACGCGCCGACAAAGAAAACGGATTCTACCGGTCGAATTTTATCGAGGACGGGCGGTCGTGAGAATTCCGGCGAGGGTGCACGATACGCGCGATATATATCAGCTGGACCTTCATTAATAATAATAGTGATTCGCTCACCATGTTGGCCAGCCAAAAGATCTCGATCGAGCGTTCCCTCCCTTTGTTGGCACGACTTTCCTACCATTGATTCAAATCGCCCTCTCGCACTGCCCCCGCTGAATTCGTGGACATACATTAGCGACAGAATCGCGATGTATCGGGCTGACCTTCATTAATAATAATACCAAGTTTACCATCGCATTGGTTCGACCCACCGCGACGATCTTCGTGTTCTCGCTTAGGCCGCGAGACGCGACTTTTCCACTATCGATATCGGCGCACTCCGCGGAATCTGAAGACATATATTAACGGTGGACATATCAAAAGAACCTTCATTAATAACAACAACCAGTCCACGCCGATCGCAGTTTCCTCCCTTTGTCGACTCGACTCTCTTGCCATTGATTCTAATCGGCCAGTGCAAAGGAAGTTGAACATACATATATTAGAGCACCGGAATCGCGATATGACGAGGAGAGCCCTGTTAGTAATAACGGCGATTAATCCGATCGGCCATTTTGCCGATTCCCAACGCGACAAGCGTTTGTAGGCGTGCAATTTTCCATTTGTCGATTACGATCGAAATCGCGGCGTACGCGTCGTACCCCGATGAATATTCCTCCAATATCGTTTCCGACCATCTCTCTCCGCGGATTGCAAATAACAGAGCTCGCCCAAGTTATTCTAGTTATAAACTCAGAATACCGATCGATCCAATTGTACATCATAGAAATGCATGTCGCACAAATTGCGAACATTATATTCTTAAACCGCGTCGGCGAATTCACGCTTTACAGAGATTCCATTTCGGCAATAAAATACGTTGGATTAAAACGTAAGACCAAAATACACATTTCACAACGGCCGACGCCGCGCCGCGCCGCGCCGGGCCGAGCGAGCGCAGAATTACGAGGCGGGGTGGTATCGTCGGAAGAACACTGCAAACTTTCACCGGTATTAATGGCCACCTACATGCTCGTTCTGTTCGTTGGCTTAGCGCGGATTCCTTCCGTTACACTCCCCGGTACGAAGCTGCTGCGTCCTCCCTCACGCCCCGACCGACGATCCCTTCGAACGCCCAGCTATATTCGCGCTGCCTCTGCACTCGATATCCGGGCATTAGGCATTATCGTTGCCGGCTACCGTGTATTGTTACGTTGTACGACCCCTGCTCGGGCTACTTCAAATTTTAGCAATTTCCGTATCGCGTAATGGGTATCGTTACTTGGACGTGTAAACCGTAATCGATGCCGTGTTGCATCATGCATATACGAGACATGCTCTGCAAGCATAGCGAACGTTCGAGTTGTCGTATCCGGAATAGTTACGCTATACAATATGCGCTCCTTTGTTGAATTACAAGAACCCGGTGTAGACCGTACACGTGTCTGTGAATTTACCTAGCTTTGACTTTGTACACGCGACGAAGCATCCGGTTTGCGTCCAAGTGAACGACCGATATGCTCGTGGCCGGATAATCGTGGCTCTGTCTTGCGTTCTTAAGATAAATGGCCGATAAGGCGTGGGCGGTTAATGATGCTTTAAAAACAAGAAATGCGAAATGTCGCGGGTCCTTACTGTCGTCCCTAATGATACCGCCGTGACGCGAACAGCACGAATACGTACATGCATCATACTTTGTATAAACTTTACTGCACAACCGGACGACCGCCGTAACGCCTCTTGAAAATGCGTGCGCCCGAGAGGTCGGAGTAATGTATGCAAAGTAGACGGTATCGTTTGTTCGATGGCCCTTAACCCTGTCATTGGTGCTCGTGGGGACGAAGACGCGAGGCTAGCCGATCTGCGCACGGGAGAGAATTCCTTTCAGATATTAAATCTCCGGAAGATAAAGCGTTTTATGATCCTCATTAGCGTGCAGTCACGACGACGAGACAGACCCTGTAAAGTCGAGTGACGACCACGCCTAAAAACGCCACAAATTTATAACCATCTCGAATATACATGGAAAGAACGGTTTTGCTAAAGTATCTAAAAATTTAGCTAGATACAGATCTGAAAATAATTTTGTCTGGACCATAAAAATAACTATGTAGGACGTTTAAATTGGTTGCTAGAATATTAAAACCTTTTTACAACCTTATCATCAATATTTAAGCGTTCTATATAATTATTTACATGGTTCAACATTATTTTCAGATCTGTATCTAGCTAAATTATTTTATTTATCACACATCTTGAAATACGTTTACTTACTAGCTAATATTCGCAACCTCGGTGGAGACATTTTTTGCAATAAAATTATTCGCAGATTTAAGATTCTCATTAACATCTGATTATTAATATTTTTATAAAGATATTTCTTAGCATCAAAAATTATTAAATTGCTTATCATTTAAATAGAATAAAACAAGGTAATTTGGATAGTTTGATAGAAATTTTGGATTGTATAAAAGATTGAGATCGCATAGTATATTTAATTAAACATACAAAACATGCACTATTGATGGAAAAAACAAACAAATGTTTTGTATGTTTGGCGCGCAGTTTGCAGAATCAGATATGTATATAAATTCATAAAGCATTAAAGGATTCATTTTAACTGAATATAGGAATTCTCTTATTTAATTAGGCATATTCTCATCGGTCCAAAATTCGTATCATATTATAAATTATTTTAGATATTCCATCAAAATTATTCTTTCCATGTAAAAATCATAACATTGTCGCAATTCACGCTGTTTCTCAGTTTTGCACTGTCGACGTCATTTTTCGTCGTTGTCCCCGAGGATGCAATACGCGATCGACATTATACACAGCGGTACAATAAATATATTCCGCTCGAGCTATCTCGCGTACGCGAAAGATATCTCGTTCCCAGCGCCGACGATGCAGACGGCAGCAGTACTCGCAAGGCAGCTGTGTTCATCTATGAAACAATTAGATCGGACCAGGAGATACGAGAACGTTGAGACGGCCCCCTTTCTACCTCCCCCATTCGCAGGTACTCGCCCTCAAACCGTAACTTCCACCCGCACGACAGGCAGCCATACACCGACAACGTAAACCGGCTATCGCATGAATCCATCTCGGTTAGCTGGTTATTTAGCCGTTTATGATCCGGCCGTGATGCACACCGACGTGGCTATAGGATAGGCGCATATAAATTCAAAGCTCGCTTTAACCTCGGCGACGCCACGTTCGTTTGTTGCAGCCCAATGCATCGCACCGCTCGGCATGGAGTCCGGGACGATCCCGGACACGGATATCAACGCCAGTTCCAGCTTCGACACCGGAAACGTCGGACCCCACCTGGCACGGTAAGCGACAGTTTTTCATTCGGATAGTCTGCCGAACCGCCATCGATCACTCATATCTATACCGGCGCCTTCTGTTACGCTCGATCCACCCGCGACCGGCATAACGCCGCCGATATCGCGGGACGCGCGCAAAAATTGATTCCAGCCGCGTCTTTCGCCAACAGTCTTCCACGGAAAAAACGGCTATGTTTACCATGACCAAAAGTCGCCCATCAATACATTTTTTGGATATAAGAACTATAGTACGATTGTGATAACCATAAGATTAGCATATCTTAACGGTTATGGCTGTAGAGATATGCCCATCTTACGGTTATCACAACCATATATATTGATGGGCGAAAATTATCATTATTTCCGGTTGTAGCAACCGTAATATTTTTTCTGTGTCCCCTACGTAAACCACGCTTCAATCGAAATATTCATAAAGACGATAGAAAATCGGTTTTGTTGCTTTGTTGTTTTTATTCGTAATGTAAAAATATATAAGTTTTTTATTCCTGTTTTTTATTCCTGCATTAAACTGTATTAGAACTCTCTTTCCTCGCTTTCGCCAAATACCAAAAATACATCTAGATATTTATTTCACTTTAAATTCTCCAAAAGTATATACTACACAGAGAGAATTTTTTCTTAAAGTTTATCCTGAAAATATGATAGTCATGGGACAACATTGTATTTCGAAGAATTTTAATGTAAATCTCTCTTATTTTATTATTAATAAAACTGCAATAAAAAGTATGAAATAAGTTTGATTAATTTTACTGAAGTGCATGGTAAAAATCTTAAAATACTGTATTACAACTAAGTACGTACCACAACTACTATATTTTCAGGATAAATTTTAAAAGAAAATTCTCTCTCTGTGTAGTTTAACCATAGAAAACAGACCTATTGTATTTCATTGAGTATAATGGCAGTTGAATATAATTTTAGGGTGAATTTCTTATTGGTGGTAAATTTTTAATAGCGGCTGTAAGGTAAATATACCAGTTAATGAACAGTTAACGACCCAATTTGGACGAAAGTATAAAAATTTTTTTAATTAAGCTTTTAATATGTACAACTCGAAATAAATTCGTTGCTTTATAAATTTAATAAGAATTTATTTAGATTCGTATCATTCAAAGAGCTTGATTTAAAATTTTTTGTCATTTTGTCCACACACACACACACACACACACAACAAACACACAATAATTGGGTCATTTACTAACAGTACATTTACCTTATATTGGCTTATTTATTTTGAGCTAATTTCTGATTGATCATCGCCTAAGCCTTCACGGGAATGAAAGACGTGGTATTCTTACATCATGGTTTTTATTATTAAGATGTAACGAGTCCGCCACGTTCTATTTTTAGAGAATTTTTAAAATAAAAATAGAGACTCTGTGTCTGGACGAGGTAAATATATCGTTTTTTGTGTTAATTGTGACGCCTTCGCTTTGCGCGCGCGCACACACGTGATTACTAAAGGGAACGCCCGGCTGCTCGTTAATACGTAAAATCCGGAATATCAGGTTTGTAAGTCTATGGCGAAAGACGTTATTACGCACAAACAAAGAGAACAACGTGGTACAAACGTAATTATTTCTAATCTAACAGGCGTAGCTTTAAACCCATTTATGCGCGCAGGCCAGGTAACAGAGATTAGTCGACATCTCTTATCGTCAAGCCGTATGAAAAGAAAAAAATTCAGCACCGGCAACGGGTGGGCGCGCGAGAAAGCTTATGAAGTCTAATTATAAATTAACGCCTATCCCCCGCAAGAATAAATTCACGGTGCAACAACGTATAATTAAGTAATCCACGTATCTTTCCGATAGCTATCGTTTCTCGTTTGGCACTTGCTCTCATGCGGAATGAATATTTATAGAGCTATTAAATTGATCGTTCTCCCTGAGCGCCAGTTTATTCCTCGGTTTAAAAACGAATTTATTTTTAATTGCGGCTGACGAAAATTATTCAACATGAATTTACGGCCGATCGGGGATTTACATACTGCCGTGCGTTCTGTTCTGCGTTAATAATTTCTACGTCATTATTCGATGCGTCCCTTGACCGTGCTGTTTGCGCTTGTAATTATTTACGACAACGACAACGTTACCAGCCGCCGAAAACTTAAAAACTTCCGTTAAATATCCCAACAAGTTAATGTTCCAGTATGAGTTTAATTACGAGTACACGTTTAACGTAATTTTTTGCTTATAGTTAATAAACGATGAAGCACGACGGTAGAATTAATTTCATTCTCCAAATTAATTTCCACCTGCATTGCCCTCTACATTTTGCCTACTGTTTCGCCACATTCGTACCCCTCCTCCTACCTCACAAACATTTGCAAAATGACTATGGAGCAAAACAGAGAGCCTTCAGCGGACATGCCTCGCAGGAGCCTCCCGTTCTCTAATGCAATTATCACAAAAGGACCTTTGACGTATCATACTTGAAGTAAAAAGAATATTACACCTGGCCAGTGGTAAAAGGGTTGGTCGTATAACGCCTCTGGTAGCCGCTGGTGCAACGCATGAATACGAGATGCAACTGGCAGAGTACGTGTGCCAACTAACTCCTCACCCTTTCGACCTCGCTCTCTACCTTTCTCTCTCTATATTTCTCCCTCTCCCTCTCTCTGCTTCTCACTCTCGCGCTCTCGCGTTTAGATATTAATGCGTGGGGCCCGGTATTCGCTAGCGGTTTGCAGTGCAGCGGCGGTTTATACGAATATTCCATCCCACGGGACGTATCCCAGCCCAGCAGACCGCGGTTGTAGAACCGAACGGGTGCGCGCGGCACCAAGCCGGGGTATATACACGGAGCGTTGGTCGACGGCCCCGCGGGCTCTCCGATATTAATACATTCCATTACCGCAGACAATGACCGGCTGAATGGGCCTCCGAGTCTTGATGAGCTCCGCTGTGCCCCCGCAGCATCGCGCGCGCCGCAGATCCTCCGGCCGCCGCGCACGTCACCATCTAATTTAATACAGGCCGGCCTCGGGCGCGCGAGGTGCTGCAGACGCTTACAACAACGGTGAGCGCTCCTTTGTGCTGCTGGGAAAAAAAAGAAAAAATTGCCCCGCCATTTTCTTCGAAATTTCGCGAGATAATAGGCCGACGAACGTTTCGCTCCGATACGAATTACCGCCGTATACGGTGTATTTTTCTTTCTCGCTCACTGCGGACGTCGAGGGTGTACGTTCGAAAAAAAAAGAAAAGGAGAAAGAGAAAAAATAACGTGAAGCTAGGTTCTGCGCGCTTTCCCAGATTCTCGTTATACTGAAAACGTCGCGAATTAAAACAACGCGCCTGGGGATGCGGCGGTTACACGAGAAAAATCATCCGGAATGAAAACACCGGAAATATACAATACATAAATGGCTCATAGTGAACATTGCGTAAAGATTGACGTTGATGTCTGGTATGGAAATGTATTACAGGATTCACTACAAGATATACGCGCTCTGACGATTATTTCGGCGCAACTAGAAAATTTTTTTGCAAGTTATCGAACGAATGTTTCTGACAAATAGGAAAGTTGTAGCATATAGGCACATATACACATAAAATATACGAGAAAAATGATTTGTTTTCCTATAACAAAAGTGATTTCAATTAGGAATGAAAATTCCCGAGTTACTACAACAGCCGTGAGCCGTGATAAATCATCTGTGAATAGAAGAATAAACAGTTCTCGCCGATGCGTATCGTGAAAGCTAATGGAGCGCGTTTTTTCCAATTATCGAGTGAAAAATTTTTGACGTACAATCGGCGCGAAAAAGCCGGCGCTGTATTTCGTACCACATACTCCTTTTAGGAATCGCGCAGCTGCAAGTTCTTTCGCACGTTTCCGCCGTTCCTTTTCTTCGTGTTTCCGTTCAATGGCATTTCTAGAATGGGTGCAATTAAGACGCCAGTAGGAACATAGAACGGGCGAGATATCGCTCGAAGAAATTGAACGGGGTTGAGAAATCACGAGACGATTTTCGCCGCGTAATTTCGTTCGAAACGAAAATAGCGCGTTTCAATTTATCTGCTGGGTGAACTGTGATTACGTGCTAATTACGTCAATGCATACTGTTAAGCTCGCGAGTTTATTTTCAACGCGAAAGCGAAATATTTAGTTATTATTGTTTACGTGACGTTGTAAATGTACATCGTTAATGGTACCATAGCTTTGAAACGATAAGCAATGATTATTTCCGCACACGAACTTCCACGCACACGTTCGAATTGTTGTTCGAACAACTTGAAATATGATACGAACCATTTTCCTAAATAGAGGAACGGCAGGAAACTGCATGGTACAAGATATTTACTTCGGAAATAACGTACTAGCGTTGAGTTAGCGAATTTTTACAGGCTCGTAATAGCTCTTACTTAGAGCCATTACTTGATACACTATAATTTAGAAAAGCACAGATAAGACGGCGGTTAAAAGAGCCAGCCGGTTGTAGTCGTGGCCGATTACGATTACGCGTCAAACGATGCCAAAGTGGACTTCATCTTCGATTTTACTTCATCTGAACATCGAGTTATAGAATGATGATTGGAACAGAGACGCCTCGAGCATCACAGGCGAAGAGCTCTCTGAAAATAGCCTCTGATCCGTTTGATGTTTCAAACAACGAATCAATAAAATAATTTCTAATTCATTTTCTCTTCGAGATATGAAAACAGTGCGCGCGAAAAAAAATTGTGTTGTAATAAAAAATGCTCATATAATATTATGACACAAATATATGAGAAATTACAAATTAACATCTATTATACACTGTTGGATATCAAAGGAGCAAAGGCAATCTAATCCTTTGAGTTATAAATAATATTTTGTTATTTTTAACTTCCATCTCTGTCAAAATGTAAATCACTCCATTTCTGTGATTAGTTTTAAAGTAAACATCCATATTAACGTATACACTTAGATAATAAACTAAATTTGAATCAAATTTAATATGTAAATTTTCTTGAAATAAATTGTTTAACTCTATTGTTTTA